AGTTATAAAATTTCAAATCATTCTGGAAAAATTATTTTCGGTTGCGGGGCTCAATTACAATCATTTTTCGTGAATAGGCACACTCCCAAAATCCTGCGCATTTTCGAGACAAAAATTCAGAGCGGGCGAAACTTTAAACGTTAATAACTTCTTAACGAAGCCTCCATCAGCAAGTTGGTATTCTTGATTTTCGTCTTATTTTGGCCTCTAGAATCCGCTATTAAAATTTTTCCCGGAAGTGGCCGAACACCCTGTATATCATGTCAGAAGTATCAGAAGTGGTCAGCAGATGCACACAAAGACCATCAGAGGCGAGCACAGAACAGCGGGAGGCAAGCAGATGCTAGCTGTAGCAAATAGCAATCGTTATACGTTGTCAGAGGTATCAGGAGTGATCTGCAGTGGTCAACTGAAGCACGCAGAGACTAGTAGAGGCAAACAGAGGTTAGCAGTAGTCAGTAGCAATAGTTATATGTTGTCAGAAATAGTCCTCAACGGTGGTCAGCAGAAGCCAGCAGGAGCCCCTAAGGGGCAGCAAAGGCCAGTGGAGGGAAACTAAGGCTAGCAGAGACCAGCAGGGGCAAGCAGTAGCAAGTAGTAATCGTTATACGTTGTCAGAAGTATCAGGAGTGGTCATCGGTAGTCAATAGAGGCCAGCAGAGACCAGCAGAGGCAGGCAGAGACCTGTACATGCTTGCAGAGGTCAGCAGAGGCCAGTAGAGACAAACAGTAGCCAGTAGTAATCGTTATACGTTGCCAGATATATTAGAAGTGGTCAGCAGTAGTCAGCAGAGGCCATCAGAGCCATACAGAGGCAAGCAGAGGCAAGCAATAGCAAGTAGTAGTCTTTTTACGTTGTTAGAAGTATCAGGAGTTGTCACCAGTGGTCAGCAGAGACCTGTAGAAAAATTCAAAAGTACATGCTACTTTATGATGGACTATACCACTATCAACGACCAGAATGCCCAAGCTTGTCGAGAAGTAGTTCGTTCCGTACAACAGTAGATGGCGTGCCAAATATAATAGATCGAAAAATTGTTAGTTTTATTTAACTTTCTTATATGATTGTTATGTACGTTACAAGAAGGCAAATGTGAGCCTTTCTCTCTCAACTCCCACAAGATGGTCCAAAATTACTTGGAGCAGCTTCGGAGAATCGAAAAAGTGGGCATTTGTCAGTTTGCCTTTGTCGGCTCTCCGAAACTCTACGAGCTCACGTACGCGTGATCCTCCGTGTGGTATCTCTGATAATCGCACGTTTGAGTCGTTGGTCCAGTCTCTGGGGAGTAAATTACAGTGTAAAAATGACGTTGGCCAACAGGAACGGCAAACAAACGGACTTGGCGGTAGGAATGTCTCGATCGAGAGTCGACGGCGGGACGGCGCGGCGTACCGAGGCCCGGTGCCATCTTTCGATTCGGCGTGGCCGAATAGTTGGCTTGCTCGCGAGCATGATGCGGAGCGGGCGAAAAAATTCGAGCAGAATGCCATGACCCAGCGCGGCATTTGCATCCCTAGGATCTAATGAATAGCGAGCATTACGTCCTATTTGGTCTCGTTGCGACCAGCCGTGACGATGCCAATGCGCATAGCATAGCTCTCGCGCTATTTGCAGTCTGCCCGGCCCCGGGGGTAGGGTGCACAATGGACGCCGACGCCTGGCGTCGGTATGTGCTCAATGGAGGCTTATCCCTCTTCTAAGGACGTCTCTCGTACGATTTACCTACTAAACGTCAACCCGGACGAGCGGCGTTCGCTCGGCGGATTCACGGGACGAGCAGACGTTGGTGGGAGCCGGAGGGTGGTAAAATCCCTCGGATTATCCGCGCCGTTCACATTCGAACGTCCAGGCGTTTCGTCCATAGGCATTTCATTGTCGACGGTCTTATTGGGTCTATCATATTTTGGAGTTCGATCCAGGGATGTTCGATTAGCGTAAAAATTAAGGAAACGTACAGTTACTCGTATTTCTACACTATACAGGGTGTTCGGCCACCTCTGGGAAAAATTTTAATGGGAGATTTTACAACAAAATAAGACGAAAATCAAGAATAACAATTTCTTGATTGAGGCTTCGTTAAAAAGTTATTAACGTTTAAAGTTCTGCCTGTAGAACGGCAGTCTGCAAACAGCTGCGTGCACATGATAGAGAACCACTAGGACTGACCTGCCTCAACCTGTCGCGCTCACGTAGCTGTTCGCAGATTGCCGTTCTACAGGCGGAATTTTAAACGTTAATAACTTTTTAACGAAGCCTCAATCAACAAATTGGTATTCTTGAGTTTCGTCTTATTTTGGCGCCTAGAATCTCCCATTAAAATTTTTCCTAAAGGTGGCCGAACACGCTGTATGGTGAATCACTATACAGGGTGTCCCAGCTAAAGTGTGACAGTCGCGATACTGCAATAACTATTGATGATACGGAAAAATTGTTTATATGAAAATTGCAGGATAAAATAGGATCTTTATTCTGGCGTAAACGGAAATTTTATTTATGTTATTAATTTCAAAGATACGATGATGAAATTTCGTTTTTTAAATGGAACTATATATTTTTTTTGGATCATGCGATAGTGTTTTTCAATACGAATTCATTAACCTGCAATTTATTTACCCGATTTTCATTAGTTTTCAAGATATAGCGCTTGGAAATTTACTGATTTTCGGCGAAGACGTCTCGGCTTGAGTGGCAAGTCATAAAAGCGGCCCTATTGTTGCGCTGTTTGACTCCGCCTGTTGAAACCGATAGCAAGGGTCTACGCTCGGAACGGCAGACCCGAAGAGTCAGAAACATGAAAAGTATTGCCCATCACGATTTAAGTTTGTCGCATCGAGGATGGGGATGTCGTTAATAATTTGGATGATTGGAACATTTATTTAAATGTTTTAGCTGAATTTTATTATACAAAAAATTTATTCTACGTGTCTCCTGCTATTCGAAATACATGTTTCAATTCGTTTTACAAGTTTCTTTTCCACGTTTATTAGAATGTCCATTGGAATTTTTTTCTGTGGAGTTATATTAAACAACAAATTTACAAAACACCAGTACGAAGCACCGCAGATTTAAAAGAAAGAATTAAAACTGCATGTGAAAGTATTCCAAGGGATGTATTAATAAACGTGGAGAAAGAATTTATGAAACGCATAGAAATATGTATTTCAAACAGCGGGAGACATGTGGAATGAATTTTTTGTATAATAAAATATTTTCATATATTAAAATTAAGTTATGTCTTTATACCTACCTTCAGCTAAAACATTTAAATGAATGTTCCAATCATCCAAATTATTATCGACATCACCATCCTCGATGCGACAAACTTAAATCGTGATGGACAATACTTTTCATGTTTCTGACTCTTCGGGCCTGCCGTTCCGAGCGTAGACCCTTGCTATCGGTTTCAACAGGCGGAGTCAAACAGCGCAACAATAGGGCCGCTTTTATGACTTGCCACTCAAGCCGAGACGTCTTCGCCGAAAATCAGTAAATTTCCAAGCGTTATATCTTAAAAACTAATGAAAAACTGGTAAATAAATTGCAGGTTAATGAATTCGTATTGAAAAACACTATCGCATGATCCAAAAAAAAATATATAGTTCCATTTAAAAAACGAAACTTCATCATCGTATCTTTGAAATTAATAACATAAATAAAATTTCCGTTTACGCCAGAATAAAGATCCTATTTTATCCTGCAATTTTCATATAAACAATTTTTCCGTATCATCAATAGTTATTGCAGTATCGCGACTGTCACACTTTAGCTGGGACACCCTGTATGTAAATTGAAAGAAACTTGTTCTCCGTATGAATTCTTTTGAATTTATTCCGGTTACTTGACACGTGTAGTTAATCAACGTTCGAACAAACTGTTTTCTATCATTTATTTTGTAATTTCGATTTATCGTATTTCCACTCGTATTTGTAGACTATAATGGTGATTCACTATAAATAGAAACAAGTTCGTTTCCTATTAATTGAGTTTTTGAAGGAGGTATAGATCCATTTTTTTTTTAGCCAGGATATGTCAGTGTGGGCACAATATCTATTTGTTTCGTATGTATTAATAAAAATTAACGTGTGATTATAGTATTATTCACTCACAATTAAATAGAATACATATACAGTTTTTACTCAAGCTGTTGAAAATATGGCTTGTTTGAACTCTGATAATTGGAAATATTACAAGGATCGATAATAATTGTGCATAATGTATAAACCATCGCAGAAGCGTGTGAAAATTGCTAAGTGAAAGGACATTGCGTAATTTATCAAGATACGCGAAAGCAATGGTTCACATTCTACTCAAACCGTGACTATCTTAATCACCGTGCGTGTAAACACTGAATCATTACTAAAGTTTATCTCCCGTCCATTTATTAAGAGACATCTGGCAATCTGGCAATCGTTCGAAAAACATTTGAAACGTACAATTTGCATACTGCTGTTGACAATTTAGTTGCGAAATAAGATACACTATCGTGTCAAATACTAACAGTGCGTTGTTTCGATCCATACAGCCACTGAGTTTTCCTCCTTTTCATATTTTTAAATATTTTTACAGCTAAGACAATTTTAATATAATATTCATTATATTAAAAAAAAATTAATTCCCTGTTTTATTGTTATTTGCGTATATAAAAACCTGAATATTTCTCATAATGATACTACTATCAAACCTACGCAATTTAAAAATTTTTTTAAATATTTATAGAAGAAAATAATTACAGAAATACAGTTATACATGAGATACACATACAGAAATACATAATTAATATACAATAAACGTTTATTTTGAATTTAAAATACTAAACAGACTCGTGAAATAAATAAAAAAATGAACACAAATAAAGTAAAAGAATGCACGTACAACATTATGTTCGCAAAGTTTTGTTAAACTTTATCGAAAAAGTACACGTCGTTCGTCTATATTTATAGTCGTTTATTAATTTTAATTCTTCGATGAAAAACTGAAGGAAGAAATACTTTTTTTACAGTTGAACGTTCACCAAAGATCGTTAGAGGCGGCTGGTCTTGAAATTTGCGGTGCCAGCGGAAGTGTTCCGCAAGGGCAGCCCAGTAGTGCGGGTTCCGTCGGTTCAGCGCCGAGTCCAGCATCACCGAGACCAACCCCTCAACCGCGGCCACCCCTTGCAACAACCACTTCTCAACCCTCGAGGACGTTGGACGACGACAGATCGACGGACGGTGAGTCGAGACAAGAATTTCCTAAAGTCTACAATTTTCAATATTATGCTGATATTCTGTATAAATGAACTGATATTTTATAGAAATAAATTTGCAACGGTAGTTAAGTGACAAAGGAATTTTGTACAGTATTAATTGTATAATGAGACCAATTTCTTTTCTCTAATGTCAAGCTCTTTTGAACTATGATGTTAGCTTATTGGTAAAAACATACAATTATTTAATCTTAACGTGTAAATATGAGTATTACTTTCAAATAAATTACTTTAACAAATTCACTGCCAGATCAAATTCGTATAATATTCTGCAAGTAAGTTTTATTTCAGTACTAAAATTCTATACTTTATTTCTCTAAACATCTCAACTTGAGAATTAATTTTTCAGGCTCCATAGTGGTAAATATTAGGTGTACAAATGAATAATCCAATTTTTTCAGCCACATTTACTGTTTATTTTAAATGAAAGTAAATTGAATTGTTCCATCAAAGTATTCGCCGTTACTTTCTACTAACTTTAAGCCATCTTTCAGGCAACTGATGAATTCCATCTTGGAAAAATTTTACGTTTTTGGACCCGATAAAGTCGTCAAGCCATTTTCGGATCTCATCCACTGATTGGACGGGCATATCGGATAAGGTGTGTTGCATCGACCGGAACAGGTGATAATCAGATGGAACAATGTCTGGCGAATACGCCGGGTGCTGCAAGACGTCCCAGCCAAGACTCATTATGGTGTCCTTTGTATGGGAAGTAATATGTGGTCTGGCGTTGTCATGCAACAATTTCACTGGACGTTCTCCTTTGCCAGTATACGGACATTTTCGTTCCAATGCTTGACTCAAGCAGATTAATTGACATTGGTAGCAGTCCGCAGTAACTGTTTCACCCGGTTCCAACAACTCGTAATAAACCACGCCGTTGATATCCTACCAAATGCAGAAAAGAAACTTCTTTCCGAAACGATTGGGTTTTGTTACCGATGTTGATGCTTCGCCGGGATTTACCCATGACTTTTTGCGTTACGGATTAACATAGAGTATCCACTTCTCATCGCCCATAACGATTTTCCACAAGAAAGACTTTCGACGCTGCTTATTGAGAAGAGAAAGAGGCGCTGTCACTCGTTGATTTTTGTTAGTTGCAATGAGTTCATGCGGAACCCATTTTACTTCTTTCTGGATCTTTCCCATCTCACGTAGGCGTTTGGAAATCGTTTGCTGGGTTACTCCTAACTGTTCTGCAGGTTCTTTTTGCGTTTGTGCCGCATTCTCAGCGAGCAGTTGTTCCAAATCATCGTTGTCGCACTTCCGAGGGCCTCCAGGGCTTTGTTTGCCGATTAGACTCAAATCACCGCTTTTAAACCGCTTAAATCAAAATGCGCACACATCGTACGATACAACACCTTCACCGAGAAAGGAACAAATCGATTCGCATGCTCTCGCAGCATTTTTCCCTTGTTGGAATTCGTAAAGAATGCAGTGTCGGATATGCACCTTATCTGTTGCCATTTTCGACTCTACTGAATTGAATACTTTTGAAGGTTATGTTGGGCCTTTCGCTAAACTATCTTTTGTTTTAACTAGCTATATGTCAACACTATATGACCGCAAAAGAGCGAGAAAATCTATTGACTTTAAACTTGATTTTATAACTGCAAAGATAATTTGGATTATTCATTTGTACACCTAATACTATTCCATTTTAGACCATTATAAATTACATAACCTAACATTTGTTTCAGTACTTATTTCTCTAACCATGTTAAAATTCTATGATTTATTTCATACGTCACCTATATATGGTTTCATGTGGCAGACAAGTTGTTAAAGATTAGCTATTACTGATACTCTAAATATTGTCTATTGTATTTATTAGGAATGTTATTACTGTACGAATACTTTTGTCCTCGAGGCTATAGTCTAATTTTCAGAATTTCAATTTTTACAAGTCGTAGACCTTTTACTTTTCTAATTACTTCGATTCAATGTTCGGTAGATTTATTTTCAAGAAACTTTTTCAACGGTACTTTGGAAATTTTATTTTTTATAATTATATAGTAGATGCTATAATACATTTAATCTATTATTTATAATATTTATAATATTCACGATTTAAGCGTGGAATATTTTTTCATTTACAAGGGTGTGTGTTTAGAAACTATTTATTTTCTTAAAAATTACTGGGACCCGACAAATTTTTCCTCGCTAATTTTCTCGCAGCCGTAGGCACTGGCACCGCCGCGGAGGACTCGGACGATGGCGAAAGCAGAGCGCAGTACGTGAACGCAAATTGTGTGGTCTTCACTCATTATCGAGGGGACGCCGCGTCCGAAGTGGAGGAACACTTTCAGAGGGCGTTAGCTCACGACAAACTGAAAGGTGAGTTTACTAGATTCAATCGAAATACACGACATTTTGAAAAAAAGACATTAAGACTGTCTTTAAGACTGCAAAATCTAAAAAATATAGCAAAAAAAGAAAGAGTCTTCAGATTTTCATTGAAAATAGTACATATGTATCTTTGGGGGCTCACTGATTACGTGTCTCAAGATAAAATTTAAAAACTACAAATGGCGAGTCCAATATAGTTAATTTCAATGCTGGAGAGTTAATAAAATTACATGAAAATTAGTTAAAAAACAATTTCTAGGACTGTTAATTGGGAATTTGATATGAGAATTCTGAAATTTAAACTGGCAACTCCAATATGGTGGATTTGTATTTTATTAAAAACTTATTAGATTTGTAAAAACTGTTGAATATAAGATGTTTTCTTAATGAACCAAGAAGAGCCAAAAAGTAAACTAAAAGTTAAATTGTTATTTAGGAATCTGATATAAGAATTATAAAATTTAAAATGGTGACTCCAATATGGTGGATTTGTATTACCCTAAAAAGTTATTAGATTCGTAAAAAATGTTGAATATAAGTTGTTTTCTCAATAAACCAGGAAGAGCCAGAAAGTAAACTAAAAATTTCAAAACATGTAGTAATGACTAACTTGATTATTACCACTTTTTAAACCCATCTATTAATTAGATTATACAATAATTAGATATAACACGTGATTGATGGTTTAAAATAATTTTCATTTGATCACAATAGTAATTCAATCGACTCTGTTGAAAAGACATTTCTGTCATCTCATTGAAGGAATTTAAATTTAAAAAGTGTACAAGTTGATGATATGGACACAATATTCATGTAACAAGTGGATAGATTGAACTGTGCAATTAAATAATATAAATACCAGTCACCTTAAAAAATTATTCTAAAGGAACTCAAACAAAAATCAAAAATAGCAAAACTTAACTATTCTTCTTCATAAAACCTTGACGAACCACGTTTGAACAAATAAAAAAAACTATCAACTTCTTAAACCAAGTATCATTCTTTGGTTTTTTTATTGGGGGGGGGGATTTCTCTTTGAAAAATTTTTAAAAACCACCGACAGTAAACAAATAATCACTCGACGATGAAATCGTACGCGCGGGGGCGTTTCGATCATCGAAAATAAAATTCCGGTTCCGAGGTCGTTCCAATTACGATCTTGGTTCGATGGTTTCGACGTCATCGAAGCACGCGCGTCGAAGATTGGACAGCCAGAGCCGGGTACAGGGACTAATGCATCAAAGGGCGGCGATTTAAACGCATCCACCGTGGATGCAACGCGGAGCAAGCCGGAGACCGATAATAAAGTGCGCCATTAGCTCGCGACAACGCTAACAAGCCTCGTAACAATTGTACCGTCGTCGTACTTGGGAGACCTAAAACCCTCGCTGTCGGCCGGTGGAAGGAGACGAAGAAGAAGGAGTGGAAGTCGGGCGAGAATACGAGAGGCGGGAGTGGAATTGGGTGGAAAAAAATAAGAGATGGGACCGAGGGTATATAGGATAAATTGAATGGGGTAAAGGAGAGGCGAAAGAGGAGCAAGAAGAACTTGAACTAAGGAAACCAGCTACAAAATGCTTCGAGGGTTGAAGGAACGAACAAAGATGGACGACATAGGGTGCAAAACGTAGATGCAAACTACCTGGGTTGATAGAAATCATGAAAGATATGCGAAATCTTGATGAAAGTATGGAGGAAGACACGCAACTTAATAATCGTTAATATTATTATTTCTAATGTTTTCAATCGTATAATTAGTCACGAAGAAACCCCGTCATTTTAAGCGCAGAAAGTATAGGAAGAGGTTATACAATTTGGAGTATACAATTAATCGCTTGGAAAATTGTTACTAGCAAAAATTAAATTAATTGTAGACCCACAGGTATATTTTAGCAATGCGTTAAATGTAATCTTCTCGATCTCTTTTTTAAATCCTCTACAGAAAACATACAATTTAGGGTGAGCAAAGTTGTGATAGAAAAATAACTGTAAAATGGGTTTCTTGATTGATACATTGAATGAAATAATACTTATGCAACTGTCTCAATTATATATTTTTCTCTGTTATAATAGTTACAGGGTGTACAAAAATATGTGGTCCTTTGAAATTTAAAATCTTTGAATTTCAAGGTTCATTTTGCAGTAGATGGTTTTTTCAAACAAATGAACTTTGAAATATTGAAGTGAATGATAAATTATTACATTGATTAATTCTCGAGATACTTAATATTGAACTTTAAACTACAAGTAATTTCAACTATATCTCCTATTTATAATTTAAAATGCAATAATCTTGTTTGAGACTTTTTCCCCAGTGTAATTTTGTTCTTAATTATATCAGCATTCGATTTCTCACGATTAAGTTATGGAGTTAATAGTTTCGTCAGCATTCTGTTCAATTAGCGCCGTCATTGATATTAATACAACTTGGAAAATATTTGACGTAATAACGTACATTGCCTTTTTTACAATGTAATGCAAGCTATAAATATTGCACAGTACGTGTTGTGGATATAAATTGTAGAAAATATAGTCCATAAATGCAACGGAAACCTATTCGTGAAACAAACGTAAAAGTTTCGTCAGACGGCATTCCCACGTGACGAAGCATGAAGTTGAATAAATATGGCTATTCATTAGGTGCTCATGGTGTTTGCAATTCTTATGTGTTCAGTTCCTTCGTGGCACCAGTCAAATTTACGTATTAATTACAACAGTCTTGATCGAATACAATACTGACACAAGAATTAATTTTTTTAACTCAAGTATAAGAAATCGAATCCTGACAGAATAAAAAAAAACAAAAGCAACAAGAAGAGGGATCTGAAGGCAGTTTTCACCTGCGCCAAAAAAATAACCACTTAATGGACAAGTGTCTTTCACTTAAAATTGTTCAATGCAAAAATGAAAATTATAGTATTGTGTGGAGATGTAAAACAAAGGTTATATAATTTTAGTGAAAAGTTATACAAAATTATTTGGGAAAATGTAATTCTCAGTTTTATTAGCTACTAAGATCATGCTACTTGATACCATTAGACTGTTCGTGTGAGGTCATGTTAGATTTCTTATTTATTCCAACAAGCTACAAACTGTTGATATCAGAACAATCGTCTTTCATGACATTGGTGAAGTATATACTGTATTTCACGTGTAACATCATGGAAGTAAAACAACAAACACTATCAAAATTTTGTAACTCGAAACCATTAGACTTTTCTTGTGAGGTTATGTTAAATCTTGTTATTTCAACAAACCCAAACTGTTGATATGAAAGCAATCGTTTTCCATGATATTGATGAAGTATACATATACTGTATTTCACGTATAACGTCATGGAAGTAAAACAACAAACACTATCAAAATTTTGCAACTCGACACCATTAGACTTTTCTTGTGAGGCCATGTTAAATCTCTTTATTTCAACAAACCCAAATTGTTGATATGAAGGCAATCGTTTCCCATGATATTGATGAAGTATACATTCTATTTCAAAATAAAACAAGGGGCAGATTTAATTTCGATTCAAAGTTCCCTCACTTTTATTGGAAACCCCTCTATGAATAAATAACGAGGCGGACCATTGTTTGGGCCGGGATTATCGACGAAAGTGGTACCAAAAAAGGAAACTGTCGTCCGAATGCCTGTATTAGAATCGAAAAGAATACCACGAAGCAATGATATCGAGAGTTGAACAAGAAGAAACATTCATAACCGCCAGATAAGGAGTTGAATGGAGGCGATAGGCGGCGTCGGGAGGAATCATCCCGCAGATGGCCCGCTCGGAGAATCGTTCCCGAGAGAAAGAGCCCGCTAACGAGAAAGGGCAGAAGAGGGTAGGGGGTTGTCGAGGCACGAGCGAGTTTGGCAAGCGATCGGCGTAGCAGCCCGTCTATATCGGTATCGTTTAAGGCCGCATTTATCTCGCGGCGGTGCTCAGGATCAGTTCACTAGCCTGCTTAGAATTCAAGACAACACGACCTAATTGTTATGTGCTGTGCGCGTCTCCCCTCCCCCCTCGCGTACCACCGCCAGCCCTCCTGGGCGTCCTCTTCATCCCCCCGCCGGGCGTTTCATCGCGCGGGACCAAGCTTTCTCGGGCGTAGGTAAGGTAAATTAAGAGCTTCTGCTGCTCTCGGGATGCTACGAGATGCACGCTGACTCAGGGAGACCAGAAGAAACACGAACGACAGGGAGGGCGTGGAGGAAAGGGGAGCTGGGGACGAAACGAAGAGACACTGCCCGGAGACAGTTTTAGCCACGGTATGCCGGCTAACATACGTACAAGGAGTGAACGTCTCTGCGGGTGAACATGTTCACCGCTAGAACAAAGACACCCTCCGCGGGGATCGAAGAACGAGCGATAAGAGGGGTTGGGAATTGTTTCAACCTCAGCCGCGTCGCGTCTTTACCGCTCCAAAACGCTTTATTGGGGGTGGGCTAACCGTTGAGGACGAATCAAATTTTTAACCACTTTTTATTTATTGGCATCTTCTTTTACTATTTATTACTCAGTGCTGCATTTCTTCTAATTTTTTAATGGAATTGAATCGTCCACTTTGTCGAACAAGGGCGCAGAATGTTGTCTATACCCGGTTCAACGTGAACTGGCAGGAAATATAAATGGAGAGGGTCGCGTGATCGACGCTGCGTCAGATGATTGGCTGCTGAAGTCGCTCCTCAGAGATGCTTTTTAGCAGTTAATGGCAAGTTACAAATTATATTACAACAAATATAAAAATTGCATTGAACATGTTGTTAAAAGTATTGAACACAAATCTTGGCAATTGGACCATTATATTGTCATTGATTGAATCATTTATAATTAATTTAAAATCTGTCAGGTCAAACACAGAATCAACATAAATTGTTGATGGTAATAAATAGATAAATTAAATGTTGGAATATAGTTTTCCATATCTTAATGTGTATTTTCATTTCTATTCTTATTTACATTATTATGTAATAATATTAATAATATCATATTA